AGGAAAACCGAGATAAAGTCTTTGTCCCCATAGCCAAAGCCATTTGGGTGGTAGTCGACCTTCCAGCTAAGGCCTCCAACAATGAAAGGACGAGACTGGATGCAGTGCCTGTTGGGAGTTGTCTCTTTGGTGCGCGAGTAGCCTTCGACAACGAGCAAGTGGTACCCGCTGTCGGTGTCGGAGTCAAAGACGGATTCGGTGGAGGCGCATAGCCTGCCGTCGGCAACGAGAGATACGCTAGCGAAGGCCATGCCTGACAAACCTCCAATAATAGAGCTGCGAGAAACATATATATGTAGGATATGATGAGAATCGCGTCGTGATATATATGGGATGGAGTAATCGGTGATGTTTGGATGCACTTACCGATCCAAGAATGGAGGATCACCGGCCAGGGTGGGAGAGGATGAGACGAGTGGGCCGAGGAGACGGCGAGGACGAGGTTCAGGGAGAGGACGCCGAGATGGGAGACGGCGAGAGCGAAGCGCTGATTGCTGAGAGAGGCTTATCTATCTATTACCTATTATATACTTAAAACAATAGGCAAACAAGCGATTACGTTCTTCCACACAGATTAAATTATCTTAGCCATTAGATTTAGATATATACGGCTTAGATTTAAAGATGTAAACATTACATACAAAAATCATGTACATGGATTATTCTGCACCTATGCAGTCTATCACGTTCCCCTCAAAGTGCCAATATGTGCAATGTCCATACATTGACCACTAGCAGTGTGAATTTGCTGATTGCCGGTATAGCGATCTCGAACGGCAAGCTTCTCCAACTCTCTGGTGATATGATCTGTCGCACCGGTGTCGAGATACCAGTTGGTATCTATGCCATACGAGTGTGCTGCGTTGGCGGAGCGATGTTGGCCACCGCCGCCGCCACAGCCGCCGCGACGGCCTCCTACGGGATGACGAACGTTGTTGTTGTAGCCCTTGTCATAGCGTTTTCTGCAGCGCCATGCACCATTGCCTTCCTCCTTGCATATCTGGCAGCGCTCGCGGTCACCGTGATCACCACCCTGCTTGCGCGGCGCACCACCAGAAGAACCACTGCTAAAGTTGTCGGGGTAGCGAGGGGCGACAGAATTGTTGTTGCTGTAGCCGCCACATCCGCCGCGGCTACCGCCGCCGCGGCTGTAGTTGCCACCTCGGCCTCCACGAGACGCGAGATTGGCGGAGTGGTTAGAGGAGAAGGCCGCCTGCTAGGCAGCGATGTGGGCCTCATCCGCAAGGAGCAGCGAGAAGAGCTCGGTGAGCCCGATCTACTGGTCCATGGCGGTGCGCGTGGAGATGGCGAAGATGAAACCGTTGTAGTCCGGTTCATGCACCTGACCTTGGAGGATCTGGTCGACGAGATTGTCTTCACCGAGGGGCTTCCCGGCAGCTGCTAGCTCGTCGACGATGCCCTTCATCTTGGCGAAGTAAGCGGCTACCGAGAGGTCCCCCTTGCGTGTGTTCCCGAGGGCAGAGCATAGTTGGATGATGCGTTCCCTGGACTGCAAAGAAAAGCTCTGGAGCAAGGCTTGCCAGATGCTAGCGGAGGTGGTGTGGTTGGAAACTTGCATGAGAACGTCACGTCAAATAGAGGCAATCAAGAACGTGGGCACCTGTTGGTCCTAAGTTACCCAGATGGCATACTCGGGGTTGGGCGTGGTGACCGTCTCCTTCTTCCCATCAGCGATTTCCTTCTCAGAGAGAAGAACAACGTTTGGCTCCTTGATCGATCCGTCGAGGTAGCCCATCATGCCCGCCGCCTTAACGTGCGGCAGGACCTGTGCCTTCCAGACCAGGAAGTTCTCCCTGGTTAACTTCTCGATGATGGTGTGGCCGAGAGCTGCGAGGGAAGGGGTGGCCATGGCGATGGGAGAGGAGGAAGACGGCATGACCTAGATGTATTGGAAGAGAGAGGCTCTGTATACCATGTGCAACTGGAGGCTTAAGCATATGCCCTAGGCAGGGACGCATGCGTGTTACTTATAGCAGCCAGGGGAGGCGAAGATTACAGAAGGAGGTTAGGTTAGGTTTAGGCGTGGATTGATCTCCAAGCTAACTACTAGGATCAGATCACACCAGCCTAACCTAACTAACAAGATACAACACACACCACGCATCCTAACTAACACGGTTTATATACACACCGTGATACAATGTTTAACAGTGAGGATAGGCTTGACAAGCCAACGTAACTCAGTCACTCTTATGGAGATGAAACCCAAAAAAATTTCGTTGGGGCGTAATCCTCTCAGTGACGCTCCATATCGGAATCGGGTGTTGTTGGGGATATAACCCCACAGTATGACATGCCCGTTTAGGGTCGGGTTATCCTGTGGCAGCCTGAAGAGCATGACTTGAGATGGGTTGTGGCGGCCTGGATTTAAGAGCCTCAAGGCCTACAGGGAGACTCAAAGAGTGGGCCGGCTCATGGCCCAGCACCTGAGGCGGCGACTCATCCAAGGACGCTGTAGTTCCCTTACATAAGAAGAGAAACAAGACATAGGATACTGATTAGGGCACGAGTGGCGTCAGACCGGTTTGAGCCCCGGACCCGGCAGATGGCTTGGTCGGGGCCTCCGACTTTAGATGTTAGGCTTAGGTGAGAGGTCTGGGTATGTGGCCCAGCTTGCACCCCTTCATCATTTGGATGGGAGTAGCGGCAGATGTTGCCAAGATGGCGGATTCAGCCATATTGTTGTTCTACTTTGTAAGGTCCTCGAAAATAATCAATAAAATGGCCGCATGCATCTCCCAGATGCAGAGGCCGGGGGTCATCCTCCTTTTCAAAAAAAAAACTATGATTCGGACTCTGTTGTAAGCCCAGGGCCTTGACCTGTATATAAAGGGGAGCCCCTGAGGCGGAAAGACAAGTCACAATCTCTCGAGTGCTAGGTTCTCCAAGTCACTACCTTGTAATCGAGATCATCATCATCGGGGCCATCTTAATAATGTTTCATGCCATTTTATAATCTGATTGCAGCACGAGCACCTCTTGAAGCTGTCATACCTTTTGCGTTCGGGCTCCGCTTTGGACCATCTTTATAGCAATTTTTATCTTCTCAAAAGGGGTCTTCCAATGGTGACTTACAACCATAATTTTGACTTCATCTTGATATAACTTCAAGCTACTCTTTATGACCGTGCCACTTTTGAGCGTCAATACCACGCTCGTGGGCCGGCTCAGCTTGCTTTCCCTTCAGCGAGTCCGAAGCCAGGACTCGCTGAAGGCGAGACATGTTCCCGATGGCACTGGTGAGGCATGTAGTTGCTGCCTGATCAGATCACTCACCCATTGTATTGATGAATGAGATGGAAGCCTCAAATAGGATAACTGCTATCAACAATCGTTCAAGTTATATTCAAATTATGCCTGCTCGCAAAACAAGCATGGCGGGCACTCCAAGATCTGTGTTCTCTTAGCGACAGTATCCTGAAGGTGTGTTACTACCCCAATGGCACGTCGTTGAATGCTGAACTCGGAAACTGTCCGTTGCAAGTTTGGAGGGGTATATGTGAAGGAAGAGATGTTCTTATACAGGGGCTGTTCAGGAGGATTCTTCCACTCGCATCATGCAAGACAATTGGATACCACAGAGGGCATGACCAACAGGAGCAGCTAAAAATTGGTTACTGAATGCTCCCCTTGTTCGTCCTTTCATCTTCAGGTTCAGGATCCAACAGTAACCGTTTGAAATTCGGACATAATTTTAGCTAATTTCTGTTAACTACTTTGCTTGCAACTCCTTTTTTATCTTCCTCGCGGTTTGATTTCTCTGCAAGGTCTTGGCATCAAGCTCCAAGGATTCGAGCTCCACATCCATCGTATCTTCTGAATCCGTTATTTTTTATCATCGCACGAGGTGTAGCATTAGCATGGCTGATGTTACCTTGCTGCAGAGAAGAACAGGGTCATGCAGGGAGGGTGGGAAATTGTTGTTCCCAAACCTTTGCCTTCTGATGTTTACCACTGAAAATGCACGATGAAATATCAGGTGCTAGGATTTTACCACCCAAGAGATTTTATCGAATGCACCCAAAAAAATGCCGCCTCCACACCGCCTCCGGAATAATAGATTGACCAGGGACTTATGAGAGAACCCCAAATCCACGCCGCCTCCAAGGATTTACAGGCTCTAGACACCAATTGTCGCTACCTGAATTTAACACTAGAATTTCAGAGATTCAGAGCTATTGGCTTAATTTGCTAGGGTTTATATAGCCAAAGGCCACTGGAGGCTAGATCCCCTACAAGTTTAATTGCTGCGTAGATTAGTTTCAGTTTTAGGTATTTTGTGCAGACTGCTCAATTGTGCCGCTACATCTTTTTAGACAAATATAAACATGTTTATTTAAAAAAAAATTGGAACCTGCATTCCATTTACCACTCTCATACTCATACCTGAAGCGAAAAAATAATAATATTTTTATCTTTAATTGAAAGCTACATATGGCCAAAGGTCAAAACTGAGCATGCATTTTTTTTCAAAAAGAAAGAAAGAAAATTTGGAACCTGCATTCCTTTACCACTCTCATACTCCTACCTAAAGTGAAAAGTGCACAGTTTTGACTTAGTTACAACAAACATTGTCAGTGACTTGAAGATGAAGAGTTTGTACTTAACCAAACTGCTGTTTTCGTTCATCACCAAACTCCAGTCCCTTCCCTTGAAATCAACCATGGAAACTGAACCAGCATTACTACATATATACTGGATTCTGCAGCTAAGCTTAAGGATAGAAAATTGATTGCCATCAAATCAAACAATTATCTGATCAGCAGCAAATCCAAATACTAGCTAGATGGAAATGGTCCAGAATAACACCTGCAAGATACATTATTTAAGCCGACTTAACACCACGGAGCAGCAACACTAGTTGCTGTAAACATGGAGCAGCAACACTAGACTGACTCAAGATAGCAAATTAAATAACAGAATGCATGCATGCACTAGCTGCAGTTCAGTTCAGATTGACTTGTTTCTGAATCACGCATTCAGAACACCGCCTGGATCTCTAATTGCCTGTTATACATGTAACGACCGGATTTGTGCTTGATCATACGGAGGCCACACATTGTCCCTGCTTTGCCTTTGCCGCCATTCTCGCTGTCGTCACCAGAGCCACTCTCGTTGCCGGAGCCATCGGTGCCACTGTTGCCTTTGCCTTTGCTGCCATTGCTGAACGCTACCTCAATACCAGTGAAGAGGGTAAATTCCTTGCGAGATGCAGATGCAATGGTACCCAACATGTCCATGAGGATGAACCTGCCAGAACCGAGACTCGCGACCTTGGACCTGAACAAAATGTCGGGCTGCCACTCGTCTGGCAGGTCATCACGAGCCCAGATCCGCATCTTCTCTGGCGACGGCTCCTCCCCTGTGACAACGCCCGAGAGGTCAGCAGCGCAGGGGAGGTTGCCTTGCAAAGAGATGCCAAACCAGAGACCAAGCTCGGGGACGTAATCCGCCTTGCCATGGAAGGGCATGAGCCAGTCGCCAGCTTTGCTCCACTCACGAGTCTCAATGTGGAAGCAGTAGGTGCCGGCACCCTCGACGCCTGCAGAGTTGGAGGAGCGGTAGGTGCTGGCACCCTCAGTGCTAGAGATGGAGAAGCAGATGGTGTCGCCGACGAGGGCGTGGCTGTGGACGAAGGCGCGCTTGCGGTGGGTGATCCACGGCGGCAGCGGGAGGATGTCGCAGTGCCAGAACCTGTGACGGGTCGGGCGGATCCCCCTCCACACCAGGGCCTCGAACTGCGGCCGCTCCTCCGCCATGTGCGGGTAGAGGAGGCCATCGATGATGTAGAGGTCGCCGGTGTCTTCGCCGTCATGGATGTGTACATCCGTTGGAGGGACGGAGATGGCCATCGGCATCACCTTGGGTCCGTTGAGCCATGGCAGCGTATCGATGCAGCGGGTGCCATCGACGACGTCGAAGCGCAGCATGCGGTTCCCGCGGTCGGCAATGACGACCTTGCTCTCCGAGGCGGTGGGCAAGAAATGAACGGTGTGATGGTTCCACATGGAGTAGTCGAGCTGCGGCGGCCTTATGACCAGCTCGGTCTTTGGAGGATCAATCTTGGGCGCCGCCGCCGCCAAATTAGTGCCGGAGATCCTTGTCGTGTTGGCCTCGGCGGGCGTCAGTACTGTTGGCAACACCTTGCCATGCGCGGCCACTTGTTCTGCCGTGGGGTGAAAAAAATTAATCTTGAGGAGGTCCAAGCGCCGGAGCGAATACAGGTGCCTGCGGCCGTCATACAACCCAAGGTTTAGGATCCGCCGCATGCCGCCCTTCATCCTCTCCGACGTACGATCTCCTTCCTGTTCCTGGGAGGGTAACAAGTAGTAGTAGTAGAATAAGGACAAGAAATACAGAAAATCGAAGCAAGTTGGCACAGATCTACAGGCGGCGGTGGCGGCGGGGAACCTCGAGCAGAGCGGCGGCGACGGCTGGGTACCTGGAGCTGAGCGGTTTTGTTGGGTCGGGCCATCATGGGCTGGGTCCATTTCTTTCCTTCTATAAACAAAAGATATTTCCGAATTTTAAAAGTGTTCACAAATTTGAAAAAATATTCACATATTTGAAAGATAATATTCTTCAAATTTTTTTAAATTTTGTAAAAGCTTTCACCATTTCTTCAATATACTCCCTTCGTAAACTAATATAAAAGCGTTTATATCACAAACATAGTGATATAAATACTCTTATATTAGTTTACAGAGGAAGTACAAAGTTATCACCGGATAAATATAGCAATCGAATGTGGATGGAGCATGATTTTTTGTCAAAAAAGAGCACCTACGGTGACCAATTAACAAAAGGACAACCTCTGGACCAATTTAATTAGCAAAAAAGCCCGCCCCACCCAGGCGGGTGCGGCCGCCGACACGTGGCTCCTGCCGCCACGAGCTGAGGCGGCCGACAACGTGTAACAGGATTTGAGGCCAGCCTCGGGCCGGGACAGAACAGGGCAGGGCAGGTGGGCCCTGCCGCCATGCTATGAGGCGGCGTGTGTTGCTGCTGCCGCACAGGCCCGCTGCATGAGGTGGGCCATGCCACTACTACCTGAGGCAGCGTGCACTGTTTGTAATCAAATCAACACGATGATAACCATACTCAGTTTTATATCACTGACTTCAGTACAAAAATTCAGTATTGCGATCATTCATGTTAATATTAAGAGTCAATTATACCGGTGGTGCCAAAACTTGGCGTAAACGGTTACTTTGGTGCTAGAACTTGCGGCATACATTAAAGTGGTGCAAAAACTTGGCTTCAACTTGCAAATACGGTGCAACTCTCGTTTGTTTACGGCTGTGACGCTGATGAGGCATGACAGCGTGGCATAGGGCCCACCGTAAGTGACTGCATGGTGAAAACTGGAAGTGTGGCGTGCTATTTTTGCAAAATACCTGGGTTTTTTTCTCATGAAAAGGCCCTGTCAGGTGTGTGGCATCCAGTCGGTCCCACTTGTTAGTGAAACATCACAAATTTATTCGATTGAAAAATATGCCACCAATGGATTCGTACCGGCGAACTCGGTCTAAACTGGGTGCGTAGCCCATAGCTCACAACATGACATAGAAGCATACACACATTTTATGCCTCGGACTGCAGGTTCTCATATGAATACGTATTTACAATTATATGTACAATTACAGTTTACAGTTTTTCGGGCTAAAAATAAGAAAAGAAAAAAAACTAACATGTTTAAAATGAACCGCACTAACTGTAGTCTGTTTAGGCCAGCGGACGTACTGTCTTTTTTTTTTGCGGGTGAGCGGGGTACTGTTGTAAAAAATAAAGGTTAACAATCCTATATTAAGGCATGAAATGGCATTTGTTGTATATTTGCTGGGTCCTCCTCGTGGTAATTGTCAGGTCCCTGGTACGAAATCCCATGGCGGTATCTTTTTTATTTGAATGAAAATTCTTATTTTACGTTATTTGGCGAAGATACAAAGACTGATTATGCTTATAGAACATCAGTTGTTAACTGATGTGTTTCCTAGCCACGCTCTCGGTTGACAATAGGTCACCGGTTCGAATCCTTGCCCGGCTTCTATTTTTCTTTCTAATACTAATAAAATTTGTGATGTTTGGCTGATAGGTGGGACCACCTGATGCCACACTTATAATTTCTAGGTATACTTGACAGGGGCCTTTACCTGAGAAAAACAAAAAATAAAAAAATGAGGTTTTTTGCAAAAAGAAAACACACACCCAATCTGCACCATATGGTCACTGACAGCGGGCCCTACACCATGCTGTCATGCCTCGTCAGCTTCGCCGGCATATACAAACGAGATTTGCACCGTATTTGCACGATCAAGCCAAGTTTTTGCACCACTTTAATGTATACCGCAAGTTCTAGCACTAAAGTGACCGTTTACACCAAGTTCTAGCACCACTGGTATAATTGACTCTAATATTAATGTAAACCATGATATTACTGCGGATGCAATTTGTGCACTGATTATGATAAACAATATCCGGCGGTGATTTGATTACCACATGTTAATATTAATGTAAACCTTGATCCAATTTGTGCACTGATCCAATTCAGTATTGCGATCATCCATGTTAATATTAATGTAAACCATGATATCTGGCTAAACATCCAATTTGTGCGCCATCACCTGAGGTGTTTATCATAATGAGTGTGCTGATTCTTCTTTGTTGTAAACAGTATGGAGTATTAAACAATACAAATAAGGTAACATTACAAGCTTTGGTATAAATACGAAATCTTTTCCATCCGAGCCCGTTTGGGATAAATAAGGTAACATTACAAGCTTTGGTATAAATCAATTCAAAAAAAAAGCTTTGGTATAAATATAAATAGCTAACCCTGTTTGTTCATTTTTCAAAGTGACGACTGGTGGACACTTTCTGCTGTTTTGCTATGGCATCAAACTGATGGACATTCTTTGTACTATGTATATTTATATGCAATAATTGTTGAACTCTGAGATGCCGAAATACACTTCATTCTTCAGAGTGACGATCGAGCGGCGCACACTCTGCTGCTTTACTGTGGTTGAAAATTCTTCTATGCGTGCAATAGTCCTGAATGAGTTCCTTCTGTTCAGACATGCTATAACTTATAAACAGTATGTGATTTCCACCTGTTTGTTGGATACAGTTTGAAACTCAAATTCCTTTTGATTGTCAACTTAAAAACGCTGATTCAAGCGTCAGCTAATTGTAGGCTATTTTCCAATTTAGTCATCTTTGTCCAGTCAATACGTACTTATGACTTTTCATCGCTAATCCAACACAAGTCACAAGTTTAGCACTTCTGTCTCAGTTGTTATGATAAAGAAGGGATGTTATTATGAATTTTCAGTTTTAAACTTACGTTTGGGCCAATACCCACCCACTTCAACGTAACCAGTTCTCTATTTTCTTCATTTGATCTCATCTGGGAACGTATCAAGTATCAACCATTAGACTTTTGATCGTAACAGCTCTAAACATTTTGATCATGTATTTCTCGATTTAATCCCATCTTCTTCAGCACGAATGATTTAATGTCATCTGGGAGAACCAAAGAGTCTCGCGTTGATTGGGCTTAGGATCCTTGTCATATTGCATTGTTTTGGTCTTGGCTGAGTTACTAGATGGGCCTATAAAGAAAGCAGCAGTTTTCTGTTGTTGTTCCTGTTGACGTGAGAGATTGCGCAGCCATGCTTTTAAGCTGTAGAAGACGAAGGCCGAGCTTGCGCAGCCATGCTCTGAGCTGAAAAATGCCAACGGAGGCCGAGCTCCAGTGAGCTTGTTTTTAAATTTTAATTTTTCGGAGCACAAAAAGTTCCATATTTATTTACGGACGCACGTGGACATGTATACTATGTATATGCAAAATTTCACAGCATTATAGTTTACATGTGGCATACAGAAAAGGACAAATACAAATTTTTAGATGGGCCTTTTATTTTTCTTATTGGGCCAGAAATTTGTTTTTTTTCGTACAACCTACAAATCACAACATTTTTCCACGAAATTTATCAGGTTCTTGCGAATACATATATGTTTCCGTGGATTTGTTTTCAGATTTTTTGAAACTTTTAAATATGCATTTTGATATTTTCGACATACCGAGCTCACTGGAGCTCGGCCTCCAAAAATCCGCACCCGCCCTGAGCCCCCTAGTTTCATTTTACCTGATGTTTTGAATGTTGTAACTGCTTGTTGGTACCGGCTATGAAGAACTGACCAAGAATTATATTCCCTACAACATTGGCTCCACCTTGAGATGTCGCCTCCAAGTATGGAAAACCCCGCAAAATCACGGCCGCTTTTTAGCTAGATTGAATTTCTCTCTCTGACAAACACCCTACATTTTCTACCCAAAGTTATTTTCCACATTGGCTCCACCTTGAGATTGTTTAACTAGTCATGATATTAAAAATGTCTATGAATTTCGAAAAATATTCTAAACTTCCAAACATGTTCATATTTTTAAAAATTTCCGATATTTCCAGAAATGTTCCAAATATGAAGATTTATTTCATTGTTTTAGAATCTTTTCCAGAATTTTTAAAAAAATCATGAATTTGAAAATTGTTACTGCATTTCAATAAATCGTGTATTTTGGAAAAATTGATTTTTAGAAAGTTTATCGAATTCAAATAAGTTTGCAAATTTGGAAAATTATTTCTAGAGTTATAAAATATAAATATGGAAAATGGTAAAAGGTAAATAAGTATAAAATAAAATAAATAAATATTTAGAAAAGTAATGAATTACCTGAAAGAAAACCGAAAAAAAACACAGAAAATAACCGATTCAAGCAAGGTTCCAGAATCATTCCAAAACCAAGTAAAGTACACTGATAAGGAAAATGAGCTGGTCCATATAGCAGCGCAGCGCTCAGGAAGGGTGTGCGCTTGATGGGCATTTACCACCGTACGTGGGTAATAGGTTCTCCCGTGTTTTGAGTAAGAGCATTTTGGCTCAAAAAAATAGAATTTTTTTTACATCATATAGTTAAAAATAAAATAATGTAATGATCATTTTGAAATGGAAAAACTATACATTATTGTAGAAAGCTCACATTCGTGCATACCAATTTTTCATTGTATATTAAAATAATATTCATTGCATATTTGAAAAAAAATTATCATGTATCAGTAATATTTGCATCACATATTTATAAAACAATTCTCTCTATATATAAGATATAGGAAGAAAAACCAATAGAAAATTTGAAAAGGGGGAGGTGGTATTTATTTCTTAACAGTCATTTAATAGATGGTAGAGCTGGATTTTTGCCGGTTTTCTTTGTAATAGC